AACATCAAACAGTGTATTATGCTTTTTCTTCCTTCTGGAATTTTGTATAATATTTAACGTAACTCATTGCCAATGCACTTTTATACCGTGAATATGTATTTAGTTTTCCTCTAGTTCTAGAATTTGTTTAATTTAAAAGAAAATATTGTAAAATGTTGTAATACTTACGAACGTATTTTTATTATATATAATATTTATTTCATAATACATTGTATAATGTTAAATATATTTACGATAATATTTATGTGACATTTTGAAAATGTTTACTGCGTTACTGCAGACAATTTTCAGATCATAAATACTCGTGTAAGCACAACTAATATTTAATAAAATCGACTTATGCATCATGCTCAGTAACTAATGCTAATATTACAGAAATTAATCTATCATTAATTTTGTTACAAATATAAAAAATTGTGACTGATTTTAAATTTCGCGGGTACGTGTAATAAAGTGTGTGTTAGGTGGCGCTGGTAGCATGGACATATTTTATTAGCTTCTCATACGTCCTACATGTATTTTTTATCAGAAGTGGACGTTTATCACCGTTTGTGTACAATCACAGTAATACATATATACATATATCAGAAGTGGAATGACAAGTATTTTATGATTATACCATGACTTATTATAATTGCAATCTTATCAATAAACATGAGCCGAAAATATTTATTTAATTCGTTACATTGATTCGGTTAAATTCTATTTATTTGTTTGCAAATTATACTAATTAAAATTACATAATTATATATCAATTTTGCATCAACGAAGTATTATGTTAAATCATTTTTGAATCGGTACATTGTGAAAATTATATTATTTTTATAATACATGAAAGAGCTATGGAGAAAATCATAAAGTTAAATGAACAAACAGCAGGCAGAGATAGACTTGTCAGGTAAATAATTTGTTATTTTGTTAAGCATTTATGAATGTTTCATATTAAACATCTGTTTTCATAAAAATGCAGTTTTATATTTTGCACAACAATTATGTAATCTTTAAAATCCTGTTGCTTTTTGTAAAATGTTATAATTTAACTATTGTACAAGTTGAAATATTGAAACAAGGA